AATTGTTATGTTGTGGCCTAATTATTTGCCAACTTCAACCTAGGGTGAGAATGACAAGACGTGAAATCTATCTTCCTATGCTTAAAGTGGGGACTTAGATGAACCGTATAAAGGGTTTTAAACAAGAAATTCAGGATTTAGTGTATCTTCTTAACATTTCACTGTATGGATTGAAGTAATCATCAAAGAAATAATAATAATGGTTCGATCGTTCGTACTTATGATTGTCTTCAAGTGAAGTCATTATGGGAGCATCATATACTACCTAAGGACAGAATATTGGTAAGCTATCTATCTACAACTATATGTCGATGCCCATAGTTTGGGATGGCTCGGCCCAGTGAACGCAGAAAAGTGTGAGCATTTTTCAATTTTTTTAATTTTTTTTTTATTATTGTTTTCCAGTGGATTGTCACAGGCTTATAGCATAATACGAACCACATGAAGTATAACAGCAAAAATATAAAGTTAAGTAGTTTGATATCTTTATTTGCCGACTTCTTCCAAAGTTGCCAGAGTACTTGAAAAGAATCACACTTTTTATTTCTTGCACCGCTAATTTATAAAAATATTGCTATGAAACTTGTTCTTGCGAGTTGTGGCTCCATCACGAGTTTCAAAAGCTATAATGGTGCATTGGCGTTAAATGTTCAGTGTGTATTTATCACAAACTCATTTTGTCTTTATTGCACAAATTATCGTGAATGGAAACAATTTTTAAATTTTTGCATTATACATAAAGAAGATAAATTTTACCCCAAGTGTTAAGGGGAGAGAGAGAGAGAGAGAGAAATAAAATAAAAATAAAACCAATAGATTATTATATCATGAAACACCCATTAAATGTCTTAAAACGATAATCATTTCTAACAAATCTTAAATTTACAAGCTATACAAATTATTCAATTTTACTTATTCTTAAATCAAGTAAAAATCATATAGACCACATGGAGATTAGTCATTTAAATTGATTTTTTTTTTCTCAATTTATCATAACGTTATTCTCCGGGAAAAGGGATATATAATAAGGGTTAATCCATTTGCATGTATATAATGGTTTGTACATAATAGATTATCCCCTCTCACATTATGTGCGGGGCCCGCGTGTATTTAAAAATTTCGATAATGTAGTCCCTATCCCTATCCCTATCCCTATCCCCATCCCCATTGTGAGTAGTAGGTAAAAGATTCGATAAAAAAATTTGATACAAGTAGCATGATCCATATAATAAATAGCTCTAAAACCAAAGAGAAAAGGGGACAACAATGTATTCAATTTGAGGAGGAAAGAAAATCAGATGAGTTTCGAAGTACTTTGCACTTTGAGCTGCTTGGAACAGGCTTACAGCTTGCCTCATTAAAGATTGTTTCTGTTTACAGCTGCCACCCCCATCGCACAACCCACCACTACCCCACCAACGAAAGAGTTTTTCTTAACATATGACAATTTCTCCCACCACAGCCCACCAAATAAGTTTTCAATAGTGCTGCAGGTTTACAGCGTTACACAAACTTCATTAATTATAACAACAAAAATATGAAGTTAAGTAGTTGGTAATTCACCCCTTAATACCTATTTGTTACTATTTTTTAACACAATCTTGAACTGACAATTAGCCAAGTAATTTAAAACTTTCGCCAGTACTCTATTTAAATACAGGCCAATGAGTTGATTTCTGCAAAAAACAGTTTATATTAGCAAACAGCAAAACCATTAGATTTGAATCCCGATGGATTACTATGCAATTAGCCTATTTCTAATTATCTTTATTGCTTGTGGATATGCTGATGAATTCCCATTTGATCAAATCTACTCTCCTCAGTGGGGTGGTGATCATCTTTCTGTTCTTGATCAGGGAAGGGTAGTCCAACTGCTAATAGACGAACACCAGGTTTTTATTTAAAACTCTCTCTCTCTCTCTCTCTCCCTCCCTCCCTCCCTCCCTCTCCTACTATATTAGCATGTTACGTAGAGAGGACTGGATTATATACCCATGCACTGTATGGTTTATGCCATTAATGTCTCAAGTAAGGGAAAATAGGTAAATGAATCTGCATATATTAGGCATAGATTGTGGATTCAAGCTAATTTTAGGACTTTTCTTTGCTCTAATTAATTACTAATTATGCAGGAGCTGGATTCCATTCAAAACATGATATGGTTCTGGATATTTTCAAATGATGATGAAATAACCAGGCAATCATTCTCAAGGAATCATCACGAATTTTTACGTAATTTAAATACATTTTGAGATGATCATGTGTATTTTCCTCGCATTGTTTTGGTTTTGGGCTAATTAATTT